CTCTCTCTCTCTCTCTCTCTCTGTCTCTCTCTCTCTCAGCTAACTTTTCTACAGTTGTTGTCCCCAGCTTTGGCCTCATCAGAATTAACACATCTTATGAAGCCAACCAAGAACGTTTTGCTGCAGAACTGAAAACACAAACACAAGACATGGCTCTCTGTATCACTGGAGATATTCTTTTAATCTAGTGTAGAACATTACATTGGTATACCAACATGATATTATGCGGTAGAAGATCAAACTTGTACAACCAACATAAAACATTGATTCAAACAGTATAGTCAACTTAAACGGGCTATTGAAAATTAATAATAGTTCAGAGTTGAATTATTGGGGAAAAAAAAGAATACAACGACAGTTAATGGAGAGCAAAGTAAAATATAAATGTGATTGGAGACCAACAACGTATTCTATAATGGTAATATAACATAAGAATCAAACATACTACATGCACCCTAGAGGCTTAAAGCCCGCCACAGCTTTCAGTTCACACTTGAGGGGTTGAGTTGGTGCTAAAAATTTTAATTTTTCAATTTTTTTAAATCGCCACAGGCATACATATGTCTCGAAGATACTGAAATAGATCCTGAACAAGCAAAATGAGTGGATTTGAACAGGCTTTAAGTCTTAAATTTTCGGAACACTGTCTAAAAAATATCCCTTGATGATGCATTCAGTACCAGCCTTTGCACCAAAGAAAAAAACCTACAAGCTAAACAAGCATTTTGCTAGATTTTCTCAAAACATTAAATTTTCATGGGGTGGGGGTGGTGGGGGGGAAGGGGGTTAAAAAAATTATGGTTTCCCAGAATCTACCCTCTTAATTTGTTTTAAATTGTGTATGCCAGTTTATATCTTAAGCATTTAGTGCACCAAACTTCAGAGGGATTTGTTTGTAAATCGATAATTGTGCTTGTTTTTTTGTTGATTTCTTGAAATGATACAGGATTTTCTCTGCAATAATTGCTTCCTTTCATGTACCTGTCAATACTTCACTAATCAAAACACTCAAAATTCCTTAAAACGATTAGTTAGCATTTGTTGTCAGTAGCGTACTCACAACAAAGTTCAATGGTTTGTTTTCTACAGTTAAGTAAATAATTTGATGTACAAGATTACATCATTTTGCAGGCCTGAGAATCTGATCGTGTGTAGCAACCAAACAGGATTGCAGGTTTGGTTTGGAGGGTCTTTTAGAATATCTCAGTTAACCTCTTTATCACTAGGTAATCAGTCTAAACTATATTCCCAGCTGAACATTAAAAAATTTTGCTTCTCTAAAATTTAATATGCATGTACATAGGCCTATATCCAGAACCGAATGTTTTCTGGTTATTATTTTTGCAATTTAGAAATTAAACGCTTTCTGAATTTGAAAAATATGCGAGTAATTACATGGTGTGCCTGAATTATGCAGTAAGTACAATTGTTATTGCTTTTTAAAAGTTATTTTGGGCTATGATGCCATGTAGGCCTAATAAAAATATTTAAAATAAACCAAA